AAGTGGTTTCTCTTCCTGTCTACCTAGCGTCCGGCCTTCTCTAAAGACGACTTGCTGCCGATGGATCTGGGCACCTTCTACAGAGAGTTTCAGAATCCTCCACAACTGGCCAGTCTCTCACTTCACATCAGTTCCCAATCGATGGCTGACGACCTGGTAAATACCTTCTTATTTGCAATTGTGTTGACAGCGAAGCTTTTGGCACCTACAGAATTGACAGCACGGAAAAGAATCTCAGTAGTCACGTGAGTTTGCGTTCTCCCTCCGCAGGACTCGCTGCCGGAGAAGCTGCGCGTCTATGAGAAAAACATAGACGAGTTCGACGCCTTCGTGGACATGCTTCAGTAGGCGAGGAGTGAGGGGGGCGAAGGCTGAAAGTAGAGAAGGACTTCCTGAGGAGACAAAGACATGGACACTGAAAAATGAATGAAAGGGAGAAGCAGACTGGAGGCTCCTCTGGTTGTTTGTCCTGTGAAAATTACTCTGACTTAATCACCGTGTTTCAATGTGAAATTTCCCTCTCCTTCCTGTCAAGTACACCTAACAGCTTGTACATCTTCACTGTAAATACTATGTTATCTCCTGTGACACTGACACACACACACACACCCCTTTGTGGTCCGGTAGGGTTGATCCAACTCAAAGGTCTTCATTTTCTCTGTGGTGTAAATCGGCTCTCGTCTTCAGTGTGTAATCAAATCAGATGATCGTGGCGTTTTCAGTCACTTCAGACAACCACCCACATCCGAGGACAGGCTACCTGCATTCTTGAGAACTGTAGCTCACCGCCGAACACTAAAATCACCTTGCTGATCATATCTGAGCTGAAGCTGACAGATCTACAAGTCGAATGACTACGTTTCACATTATGAGTTTTCTCTTTAAAGCCAGTCTGGACAAAGAAAGTTGCACACGGCCTTGCACGAGGATTTCTGTGCTCGGCTTTACAGCGAAGGCGGCGCTCGCTTCAATGTCCCTCAGCAGGTTTTCCCAGCTGGTCTGGGGATTTAAACTGCCAACTTCAGCATTTGCAAACGTCCCCAGTGGAATGTAAAGTGAATTAACTGCTGTACAGAAAAAATTTCCACGCTTCAGTTTGCTTTGCAACAACACTCAGTTGCCAGTTAAACCACATACTCCTAGCTGAAACTAATACAACATCCCACCCCTGCGATAACGCGTCGGTTTTTGTTGAAACTTAACGATCATTTCAAAGGTTGGTAATTGTGAATCGAGGGGAATAATGACCCCCCCAGTTCAATAAAATTGACCACCATCTTAAATCGCAGCCTTGAAAATGACCATGAGGTTTAACCAGCCCCAGTTTAATCAAGAAGTCAACATAACCCGTGTGGATACTGGATTTTATTGCAGGACGTTTAGTTTGAGCTTTCCAGTAGCATGGTGTTTACCATGCACTCTTCGACATGCTTATGTTTATTTTGATCTCTTTTTTTGATTAAAAGAGGGTAACATCCATGACCGTTCAGTTTGGTTGAAAGCTTTAAACTTTTCTTTTGGTGTAGATGTCCCAATAAAGCTCTGTACAGACTACATGGAACACCTGTGACTCGTGTCTTCAGTGGCTAGGATGTTTTACCAGGATCCAGAATTACCCAATAACTCAATTTAAAAGTTTATATATTTTAAAATAAAAATATATACACGTATAAATAAGTGCGTAATATAATAGATAGACACTTTAAAAAAAATTTAAGGGCAGCAGTTATATCTTGCCATTTCAGTGTAACAGCACCTGTAAACACACTGCAAGAATTTGAGTTGTGACAAAGTATCCGGAATTTCCCAGAAGTACAACCTCAAGAGGAACTTTCAAAACCTCTAAGACAAGATGGGGGGAGAAAATTTCTTTTTTAAAATTGATTTTATACAGAAACTACTTTCAGCTGTTCCACATGTTTGAACACTTTAAATCCTGGCTGTAAACACGACTTTGGGTTAGAATTGAACTGATAATTTCAGCTTACAGAACATGTTAATCAGGACACCACTGGCAGAACCAACATCTTATGTGTTGCGAAATTAAAGCCAGTTTAGACAAAGCTTCAAAATATGCGCGTGAAGACATGTGATGACAGTTTCCCCTGGTTGTCCAAGATGCCGAATGACTAGAAGTTGCAAGCAGAAAATGAAAAGACCACTTTTTCAGAATTCTCAAATGTAGTTTTATTCTTGGTAGTTTCTGGATTTCCATCACATACCTGCAGGACTGCAAAGGGTCAGAACTGTAAAGTTAAGAGTAAAGTAGTACTTAAACAAATACATTTCATTCTACACTTCATATTTCACCAACGCGCCACAGGCTTTACGGCTGTGACCAACTTCTTAAAGAGCCCCGAGTCGTTATGCTGCTACCTAAAAAGGGCCATTAACCGTTCAAATGCTTCACTTCCTGCGAACAGCCGTCTGGAAGGCTATGGAGGAAAGCTGCTCAAGTCGATATCAACTCTCCCAGACAACGATGACGTAAATTTCCTAACGATGAATATGTTCTAGGGTTAGCCACTTAAACATGCCATTACTTTTGAAAGCTCTGAGCTGCAGTAGTCAGAGGACATTTCCCCCCAGGAAATGCTGGGGTGATGTAACGAGAAAAGAATAAAAATAAAAATACAAAAAAAATAAAATAATAATAATTTCACAGGAGACAGGCAGTGATTGCCCAGTGTGCATTTCCACCTCGTTCAGTTGCTCAGTCCACTAGAATTGTCCTGTCCCCACGTCCCCCCCACTGTAGCTCCTCCTGAGCCCGACTGTCCAATGAGTTTGTGTAGGGCGACTTGGTGATTGAGTCTGGGCGCGACGAGACCGGTCACATGTCTGGGAATGGTTGGGAAAAAAAAAAAAAAAAAACCCAAGAAAAAAACGGGAAACGTGAAGAGACAAAACCTTTTACTCTTATCCCACTCCCGTCAATACAGGTAAAAAGTCTTTAAAGCAGATGGCCAGAGTCCTCCTTCGTCATTCATATCCAACCTGCTCCAAGTCAGTTGAATGTAGGTGGAGTAATGTAGTTGGTAGGGGGTTGTGGTGGGGGATGGGGTGAAGCCAGCATCCATATGCACTACAGATCAGAGCAGGAGGAAGAAGAGGGAGTGTTTGGAGGAGGTTCAGGAGTTCAACTTTTCTTAATGGGCTTGATTTTTAATTTTTAAAGAGAAGGGAGGTGACGGAGGCAGGGTTCAGGCTCAGGCAGTACTCAGGAGGTCCTGTATGGCTTTCTGCTGCGTCTCGTTGAGTGTCGATATGCACTGTGTCCACAATCCTGCTGAGGTCTGGAAGACATGACAAGAATGGGTAATCTGCAAAGCATTTAAACATCAAGTAGATTTGAGGGCTGTGTCAACATTTCTGGGCTTACCTGCACTTGACGGATCACGTTAGCGAGCCGCTTGCTGCACGCGTCTTCGCTCTTGATAGATTCATTTGAGACTCCGTCGGCTATGATGAAGAAAATTTTAGGAAGATTTGCGTTCTCTGGTCCGAGGACAATCGGGTTGTTGCTGTGGAGAAAGGATTGAGAGGTCAGGTGTGCAGGGTGGAGGTGGTTCATAGACAGTCAGGAAAATGAAGTCTCGGTACCCTACCTCTCAATGAGGTCACAGAGGAAGTCAAAAGTGTGGACCGCCTCCTCTTTGTCCTCTTTGAGCGGTAGCCAGCTGAGCCAGTGGGGAAGGACCTCGTTAACGTTGACGCACTCTGGTCGGAACCTCATGAGCTTTCCCACAGCAGAGACGCAGTTCTCTGTAGCGTTGACGTTTTCCTTTGAGCGCGAGTCAGCTGCCTGGATGACTCTGACCAGCAGGGGGAGGGCCTCTGTGACGAAGAGCACATCATGTAGGTGTCGCCAAGCAACTGAACTGCCAGCAGGTAAAGTAAAGACCAGGTCATACCTGTGCAGAAGGGGCGGTAGCTCTCGCCTCCGAACTGAGCCATGACGCCGACGCCGTAGGCAGCTGCCTGCCGGACCTCGGGGCTCGTGTCGCAGAGTGACTGGATCATCGGCCGCAAGAAATATTCTGCGTATTTGAACGAGGAGGGGCTGCAGTGCTCCACCACATCGTCAAAGATGCACAGACCCCACTGTCTGTCAGCCCAGGGCCTGTTAGGACACTGAAGACAAGTGAGACAGTTTAGTAGTAGTCATTTCCCGTTTCCATGTACATATGAAACTAAACAGTGCTCAGCAATCACTCACTATTAGCTGGACAATGAGCTGCAGCAGCTGCTCAAACCAAGGCAGCACCTTCTCTTTGTAACTGCTGAACACCGAGTGCAGGATGTCAGATACTTTGGTCAGAATGTACACATCGTTCTCATCCTGGGAGAAGACAAACACCATGAAGGCTTGGAGGGTCTTGCATCATCATCATTTTTGAAGGTTAACACACAAAGCAAAAATATTCACCTCATCTTGTAGCGTTTCCTCTACCTGCTCATCATAATCTTCATCCTGTCTCTTAGCTGGATAACACAATGAAGTACGTGTTAGGATTTTGCACCAGCGTTTAAAATAATCATGCCCTCATGGTATTTGTGACGTATCATTTGTCATGGGTAAAATATTTGTGTTTCTGAAGTCTCACCCTGCCTGAGCTCCTGGTTCTTAAAGTGCTCCTCCAGCTTCCCCTTCAGGATGCCGCCCAGCTCCTCGAAATGCTCGCTGTTCAGACAGCCGTCTCCCATCAGCTCTATGCACTTTAACAAACACACTTTTGTCAGTGCACAAATCAACATGGCTCACGGGGAGAGATAAAAAAACAAAAGCCCAAAACGTAGCTACCTTGGCAAACGAATGCATGATTTCTGACAGGACATCCGAGTCTGGCTCTGTGCCGATGGCCTTGATGAGGGCGTCGCACATGAAGTGCCACATCTGGGTGAGGTATTCTGGTCCTCGAACCCGGGCACACTCGAGCAGCAGGGGCATGGACTCAGCTGCTGCCACCCGCACACGTGAGACAGTTAAGGCCAACGTCACCTGTATTTTCACTTAATCTGAACAGTGGAACCATCAGAGACGTTCACGCTGAAGACTTTAATCTGATCGTG